CGCACCACCGCTGTTGCGTCTGACGGCGAGGTCGCGCTGGTGGGGCGCGGCCGGCGCGTGTACCGCGTTGTCTTTGCTGAGAGCCGCTGCGAGCTCGTCTTCACAGCACAGCACACCGTGACGGGCATGCACATGAGCCGCGCCGGTGTTGCCGCCGCAACGTGCAATACTGGCGGGCTGCTGTACATACTGACACTACGCCCGGTTGCGGTACTTGGCTGCTATAGCGTGCGTGGTGGTGGTCCTATCCACAGTGTCGCGCTCCACCCCGAGTCGGGACTCGTTGCACTGGTGGGCGGCGACGGTACAGTGGAAGTGGCGCGGATGCCGGAGGACTGGGTCGCCATGCGTGGCCAGCAGCACGGCGCTGATGTCATGGACGCTATTCCGGCGGCACGCGCGCTGCATTGCCTCACACAGCTACAGCAGAAGCAGGCTGATGGTGTTGCTGCTGTGTCGAGGCCTCTTAATGAGGCGCAGCAGGCCGCCACGCAGGAAACGTTGCTGCTGGCACGCATGGCAATCCCACAGGAGGCGAATCGATATCTGCATACCAACGCCAGGGTTGCGTAACGTCAGAGTAAAGAGGGTGCGGCATTCTGGGTGTGTATATCTCTCTGTGTGTGTTTCTTTTGGGGGGGTGTCACCTTGACATTACAGAGATTTCGTACACTATGGTCAAAGGTGTCCTGGGGATCGTGTTGCCTTGGTGTTGTTGTTGTTGTTTTTTTTTTTTTGCGTGTGGGCGTTGTTGGCGAAACAACTTCGCTTGGGGCGTTGAAGAGACACCAAGGGCAAGACAGGGGCGAGGGAGAATGGGGTAGATTCTCTCGGCAGCAGGTTGGGGGCAAAATAGTAGTCTGTGGTGGATGCAAAATAAGAAAAGAAAAGCGCAAATCAGAGAAGGTAAACCAAAGGAGCTTCATTGGCTCCGTAATATCTCCCCGCTGTGGGTCGGGGGGAGGCGTCCCCGATCATTTTCCTATAATGTGTACATACACAGATGTATGTCCCCCTTTTTTTTACCCGTGCGTTGATGGAAAGGGCATAGAAAGGCATTGACTTGTCTTTTGTTGTTGTTGTTGTTGTTGTTTTGGTGCTTCATTTTTTTTTTGTCTTGTTTGTCTTTCTGTGTATTTGCCCTTGGCTTGTTGTAGTTGTGGCTCATGGTTATATTTCCGCATGATGTTCTCTTCGTGTTCGCATTCGCTTCGATCCGCTTGGGCGGGATGCAAATCGTTCTGCCCGAGGGTGCTGAGTGCGCGTGCCACACACACACACACGCGCGCATTCACACAAACACACATTTACGCATGCGTCTGTGCACCCACATACACGTAGAGAGAGAGAGAGGGCGTGTGTCTCTGTGGTTTATATACACGTACATATTGAAGGTGGCGCAGAGTGGGACGCACAACACTTTCCCCTCCCACCACCACCACCACCACCATCTTCTCCTCCTTCTCCCTCCCTTACTTTCCCACCTTCAATTTTCCTCAGTTGGAAGGGACGAGCGGGAGAAGGAAGCAATCAAGCAAGCAGCCAAGGAGGCAAGCATCAGACTAGAAGGGATTGGGTGTGACTTGGAGGGAATTGTGCAGTGATGCTGCGACGTGGACCACTTCTCCTCGCGACGAGCATCCCCCGCAGCGTCTGGGACCCGGCGCACTACAACAGCAACTGGTCCGACAGCTACAGTGCCGACATCGCGGCGCGCCGCCACTGGCCGGCGAAAAAGTGGTCGATCGGTCTGGAGCCGCGCACCCCGCGTGACTGGCTGCAGTTCTCGTACCGCAATCTCGCCTACGCGTATAACGGCGCCCTGCGTGCGTGCCAGTCATTCCCGGAGATGGTGGTCTACTACAAGGAGATGAAGCAGCGTGGCGTGAAGGTGGATGTAGACACCATGAACGTCCTGCTCACACGCGCGGCCCGCTACGAGCGGATTCAGGTGGACGACGTCTTCCTGTTGTTCGACGAGTTGACTGCGTTGGGCGCGCGGCCCGACATCGCCGCGGTGGAGACGCTGCACACAGTACTCGACCACAGCGCGGCGATGCCGTTCGCGTGGCGTGAGGCGCGGCGGCGGCAGCTGGTGGAGTTGTACAATCACCTCGCCGCGGAGGAGGTGGC